TTCAGTTGTTTGAAGCCACTCAGTTGGTGGCATTTTGTTATGGCAGCCCCAGGACACTAATACTTGGCCCATCCTCGTGTTCTGAGCAAGCCCACTGGAGACGAGGGTGGGCCAGGCAGGCCTGGAGTGTCCTGGGAAGCAGAGGTGGGGCTGTGCTGGACACCCAGCATCAGAACTGCTGGAGGGACATAAAACGGCGAGCAGAGGCCAGCCCAGACCTAGCGAGCCAGGCTCTCTGAGGGGCTGCTCTGGGCATCTGCATTCTACTCAAGCTCCTCAGGTGCACCCCAAACCTGGCATGCGCTGCTGGGCTCTGGGGAGCCTCGGAAGTTTTCCATCGACGGGTCGAGAATAGTCAGGAACAGGAACGGGGCAGCTCTCAGGCTCTGTCTTGGGGATCAATTGTCAGCAACACAAGACTCACTGGGGGATGAGGGTGGGGGAAGAAGAAGCAGCTGGGGTGACGGGGACCAGGACACGGGGGATGTTCACTAATCAAAGAGGCCAAGTGCATGAAAGAGTTCACTCTTCTGCAGAGTCATGTACCACTCTCCCAGGAAACAGCGATGGATCAGCATCCATCCCGATCTGGAAGGGTACAAGGGACAGTCCTTTCAACACCACTGCTAAACCCAGGGGGCAGCGAGGCAAGGAGGACATTCTCCTCTGTGGTCATCACCTCCTAAAGAGCCAGGCCTGGGATGGACGAAGGTTCCAAATCCCCTAATAGGCACAGGGCCCGCACGGGAGACACTGCTCCATGAAGAGTCATCACGGAGAGACGGTGACCATGGGGGTGATGGTGCAGGCATCTCAGGCACCTGCTCTGCAGATACCCCCAAGGGCTTTCTAAGGATGTTCAGGCAAAGTACAGTGTTTTAAACACCAGAGGGAGAAAGGATGTCCCCTCTGGTATCAAGAAGCAGACTGCTTTCCTTAGCAGAAAGAATTCTTCTCGAGACTGGAAGGAACTGGGTGGCAGTTTTGCTGGAACTCTGGGCCTGTAACCTCTCAGGTCTCACAGTCAGAATCCTTCCCTTTGGTGACCCCGTGGAGGGGACTCGACCCCCCTGAAGTCTGTCTACCTCCCTCCTCTCTCTGTCCCCCCTCCAGAGAGCAGCTACCAGGCTGCGTCCTTCCTCTGTAAGGTCTCCTGACGACCTCGACAGGTCCTGTCGGGCAGGAGCATGGCCAGTGCTGCTGAATATTTCATAGAGGGCGAGAAGTCTCAAGGAAGACATTTCTCTTTGAAATGTTAAAAGCAAATGCGGAAGGCAAGGAGGAATCAGGACTTGGAGAGAAAATAATTGATTCCGCAGGTGAGAGCTTATTCTGGGCCTCGGGTGAGGACAGGGGCCTGGAGGAACCTCTCTGTCTATAACATGACTTCTCTCCTGAATGGATAACGAGCCACGCGCACACCTGTTGTTGAGAGGCCACCGTGAGCTGCACAGCCTGCCCAGGGGTTGCCTTACTGCACAGCCCGGGGCAGCTGGTCTGCGGGGCCAGTACTGTAGTCCTTGATCCTCTCGATTCTCAGATGACCTCTTTACAGCCTCCAGGGTAGCCTCACACCTGCGCTGACGCAGCCTCCTCCACCGCAGCCCCTTACCTCTAAGCCCGTCTTGGGGGCTGGCTTAACTCTGGCAGCCACAGAGCAATGGAGCCCGCATGAGAGAGCGAGAAAAGATAATCCCTCTTAGTGGGGAGGTGGTCCATCCTCTCAGTGGTCAGTGACTGAAAAGGCCTCCTCTTCCCTCCACCCACCCCATCCAATGCTGGTTCTAGGACCAGCCTGTGTGAGGACCCCCAGCCTTCCTGTCCCTGCCTACACTGACGCCTGCAGCTCTCACGTGTAGTGACATGCTCTTCTCAGCTTCACAAGGGAGGCAGCGGAGCATGGTGGTTAAGAGGACAGAGTCCTCCAGAGTCAGATGGACCTGAGTTCAAAGGCTTGCTGGGCCAATTACTCCAGCACTTGGTTTTGGGAAATCCTGCACAGGAGATGCCACTGGGGCCCTGACATACCCCCTGGGTGCTCAGCGCTCCCGTGTACGTGTACTGCTTACCCCAGCAGGCACCTGTCCCTCCCTGATGAGGGTTTTCCTTGGTGCTAGGAAGAAGCCTGCACAGAGCTGGCCTGAACTAACGGGAACTTTAATTGGTGGATTAATGCATAAATTGCCTCACCCTTGGGGTGGAACAATGCCAAGGCATGTTCTTGCAATCCCCCAGAGGTCCCCAAGGGGACCCAGCCTCAGGTGCCTGCAGTGTCACCTGCTCGTTAACACACCTGAGCTGGCGTCCTGTCCTTCCTGGCTCACTTCCCCGTGCCCCCACGGGGCTTCCTGGCACCACCTCCACAGTAACCACATGCCCTCAAATCCTTGCCACAGGTCTGCTCTTGGGGGAACTCAACCCCCAAAGCCACACCCTATGTCAGGTTCTTCCTCAGGAAGTCACAGACGAGAACTGCACCAGGGCTTGGGGACTGAAAGGGTGTGATGCCACACGTGAACTGCCAGGCACGCAGCCCTCAGGAAGCGTTAGCTGTTCCTTGTGGTCATTCACTCACCCAGATGCGAGGCGGCTTTCTTAGACAACGGGTGTGGACCCGCACGCAGGAGTTACCAAGACCCAGGCAGGCAAGTCAGGGCCCAGGCTAGGGGGAGGGGAGCATCAGACTCTCCCATCTCACCATCAGGCCCCTGAAAGTAACGAGGGGTGATGCAAAGTTGGGGTGGCCGGTGGGCAGAGAGCAAACACCTGGGTTCGGACCCGGGGGTTTGGTTAACACAGCGCCGAATTGGGATTGTGTAAGGGATCACTGTGCTTCAGTGAGTCAGTGCACTGAGTGAGGTCTGGATGCACGAAGGACCCACAGCCTCCCTGCCCTTCATCTCCTCTCTGAGACATTTTCAACAGGCAACTCAAATGGCATAGCTTGCACCTAGGCCTGTTGCCAGTTCACAGTCACAAACCCTTATATGACTCAGAGGAAAGAAGAGGTCCTTTCTTCCTTCTTTGGAGATGCTGAAGGGGCCCTCTGGAGAAGCGCAGGATTTCTGGGCTGTCGCCTCTGGGCCACGCCCTGGGAAAGGCCACAGCGCTGGTGACAGAGGGGGACACCCTGCGTCGGGTCATTGTCAAAGCCAGCCCCTCATCATCACGGAGCCCCGGGTACAGAAGCCAAGGCCCCAAACCTCGATCCCAGCACCGTGACATACGGAAGTCGCAGGAGCCCGTGGTGCGCACCCCCATATCTCAACAAGGTATGTCCTTTATAGTTTAAATAAAATTGCCAATCAGAATGGGTGAGGAGTAATGAAAATGTATTCACTCAACAAATGAGTATTACTTTTATGATAAGAAAAAAAAATCTCTGTTTGTAAAGAGGTGTTTCCACCACAGATAGAAAAGCTAATTGTATCTCAAAATGGAAGAGACAAGACAGGAAGCTCCCCAACCCGGGTTTTGAAATCAGCTCAGCGCAGTTTTTGAGTAGGAGAGCTGGCGGCTGATCCTAATATTCGAGGTGGGGCGGGAAGGGCAGGGATGGGGGCAGAGGTTAGAGTCCCAGGTGTCTCTCAGCCCCAGTCCGAGAGCGAGAGAAGGAAGATACTCCCACCTCCCTCTTCGCTTTTCGGGCCCCAGTCAAGTTCGGTGCTTAATAAAGATGGTGAGGGTGGCCCCAAGCTTGTTAACCATTGCAGACAACTCAGAGATCCACGGAGCTCACGGGGCCGGGAACAATCCCCACGACTGTGTGGGACCTGCGCACACGCTCGCTCACCTCTCTTCTGTGCTGCATGCCCTGCTCAATAGAGTCCCAATTCCCTTCATGGCAACCGATATTTCTAGACCACAAGCCAACCTTATCCTATAGTAGAGCTCTCTCATATTGGGGAGGTGGTGGGAAGAGAGTTGCTGGCACTCTGAGAGCTCAGTGCATTTTCTAAATCACTTTGCAGACATTAACTCATCAATCTCTATAATGCGCTCACGGAGGTGCTGATGCGGCCGTGGTGGAGGCGTGGATCTCAGAGCAATTGAGTGATTTGCCCTGGCTCGCAGGAGGGACGTGCGTCAGCATCGGGCACAGCCTTCGGGGGGCCCGATGCTCAGCACAGGGCGCTGGCTGATGCAGGCAAAGCATCTGGCTCTGCATCCTTGTGCAAGTCTCAGAGGCAGGGCGGGTACCAGCCACACACTCAACACGTGAAGACTCGACAGCCAAACGCATGGTTTTGCTCAGCCCAACACCAAACACGGGGTGAGGGGCACAGGCAGTAAGACACAGATGCCACCCTGCTACCTCTTCCGGCACCTTGGAGCCCCGCCGCCCACCCCCTTGATGCGATGGCGCCATCTTCGAAAGCTCACCGCTGCTGGTCCAATGGGGCTGCTCCCCGCTGCAGGTCCTGTGTAAGCCCGGGGCTGGAGGAAACAGGCCAGCGGGCTCTTCCAAGATGCAAGACTGGGCCCAGCCGCCGGCAGGGCGATGGGAGAGAGGAGGAGCCCGAGAGACGGTCCTCCTGGTTGGTACAAGGGGGACTAGAAAGGGGAATGGCCATCAGCACCATTGCTGGGGACAGTGGAACGGATGCCAAGAGAAGGGCGGGGAGGGGGTACCACTGGCTCTCTCTCTCGCCTCATTCCGTCGACATCTCTGGGTTTCAATGGAAGTATGTTACAGAATCTTTCAGTACATCCATCTAACTTAGGTGCAAATTAGCTGATTCACCAGTCGAACAGCAATGCCCTGCGCCCACTGCATGCCCCTTCACCAGTTTCCTTGCCTAATTTCTAAGGATGTCCTTAGTTCCAGCCCTGCCACAAGTTCAGAAAACTAAGAACAGAGATGGAAAACATGCTACCACTATGCCTTCTGTTAAGTTTTGCTAAAAGCGGGCTCTGAACCTTCTAATGAGGATTAAAGAGAGGGAGTGTCTCCTCAGCCAGACGGCGCCCCCCCAGGGTCCATCCACGAGCCTACTTACCGATGTCCGTCTCCTTGTGGTTCTTGATGTATTCTGCCAGCTCAAAGTTGCCCGCTATGATGGCTACCTGCAAGAGTGGAAATCGCGTTAAGGTGACAACTGCAGGGCGGCGACCTTTTACATACTTTCATGTCACCGGAGGCCTAGCAGCAAAATGAGTCCAATCGTAGCTCCATTTTTTTTTTTTTTTACAAGAGATACATCTTTTTTTTTTCAGTTTTATTGAGCTATAATTGACATACAACACTGTTTAAGTTGCACAGCAGAAGGACTCGATGTACATATATTGCAAAGTGATAACCATAAGTCTAGTTAACACCTATCACCTCATATAGTTCTAAAAATTTTTTTTCCTTGTGATGAGAACTTTTAGCGACTTTCGAACACACCGTACTGCAGTGTCAACTACAGTCACCATGCTGTACATTACACCCCAGTACTGATTTCATAACTGGAAGTTTGTACCTTTCGACCACCTTCAGTCATTTTGCCCCCCCGCCCCCCCCACCCCAGGCCTCTGGGAACCATGAATCTGATCACTTTTTCTACGAGTTTGATTTTTTTAGATTCCACATATAAGTGAGAGTGTACAGTATTTGTCTTTCTGCGTCTGACTTATGTCACTCAGCACGATGCCCTCTAGGTCCATCACGTTGTCACAAATGGCAGGATTCACCGTAACTCTTACGACCACAGCCACGACACCCACCGGCCCTCAAACCCACCCAGGGTCACGTCTTCCCACTCTGTCAAACGCCACACTTGCCCGTCTCAAAGCCCCCGGACATTTTACGACGAGGCCATCATTCCACGAGAATAAGCCTCTGCCCGGAAGGCCCATGGAGGGAGTGATCTGTAGGGCAGCGGAGAGCACAACGAGGCCCGAGCCCGGAGACCCCGCCAACTGTGTCCTGTATTCCCACCAGGCCCACCTGCTTGCAACACGCTTGCCCGGGAGTCCCATCTTTCTGATTAGACACGGGCCAGTCCCCTTAACCAGAGAGAGAGGGACATCTCAAAACAGCATTCAAAGCTCCTCATCAGATTTCAGATCAGCGGGAAAAAATTCCAGCCATACCTGTGCCATACATGTGCTATACATGTGTGCACGGGTGGGTGACACGCAGAGCAACGCCTTCAGGAAATGATCCCAACCCGAGCCCAACAGGTCTGGTGACTAAAGCAGGAAAGGTGTGTGGTCCTTGACATGCTGAGGCAGCCAGGCAGGTGAAGCCAAATGCCCCTGGGATAGCCCAGGGAGACCCGAACCAGAACCCACACAGGCAGGGCCCACAGCAGTCATGGGGAACGCCCCAGCCGGGGAGACCCTGGGGTCGGAGGCAACAGTCTACACCCACAAACGAGCGAGGCGTTCAGATGCCAACCTGGAGCCGCACACACATCTCCAATCAGTTGACTTTCCGTGATAATGCGGTGGGCCCCATACAATCATTTGGAGGCTTTAAGAGCAAAAACTGAGATTTCCTGGTGAAGAAGATATTCTGCCTCAAGACGGCAGCATCAACTCCTGCCTGAGCTTCCAACCTGCCCTACAGATTTCAGACTTGGCAGCCCCCACAGTCATGAGCCAATTCCTCACAAGAAATTTCTTATATATATATATATACATCTATCTCCAACCTGTCAGCTGTTTCCCTGGAGAGCTCTGCCTGATACAGCTCTGCATGGAGGCTGTGGGGGCATTGCTGCAGAGACACGGGGACCCCAGACCCCTGTCCTTGGAAGTGACGTTGATTTCAACTCTCGGGCACCGCCTAATGCTCCACGTCCTCCAAGCATGCCGCCCCACAGGAGAAGCCAGGAGCCCGTCCAGTGCCTCCCCGGCTTGCCAGTGACAAGAGGAGCTATGGGAGCCCCTGTCTACACCAGCGGGGGGCAAAGGGGAAGGCAAAGGCCACTTCAGGGGGCAGTCCCAGGTTCTGCAGCTCCAGTGGGAGGGGTGGAACCATCGGGTGGAATGAGCTTCAAGGGCCTCCTGCAGGGTGATCACCTGCCTGGGACCCAGGCTTCAGATTGTGGACCCCAGATACAGAACAGGGACAGAGATGAAGAGCCCGGAGGGGGGTCCAGACAGCCACCCGAGAAGCTGGCACCCTAGTCTGCCGGCTTTTATGACTGAACGTAGAAGGAAGGGTCTGGTCTGCAGGGTTACACGTAACACATAACCTAGCGTCGATGAGGTGACAACTGGTGAGGATCATTCCGTGTCTATCAGCCAAACCCTCAAAGGCACAACTCCCTCACACCCATCACGATGGTCACTATCAAAAAACAGAAAATAACAAGTGTTGGTGAGGATGTGGAAAAATGAACACACTTCTGTATTTCTGGTGGGATTGTAAAACGGTGTAGTCACCCGGGAAAACAGTTTTGAGTTTCCTCAAAAAAATTAAACATAGAACTACCTGATGATCCTGCAATTACACTGCCGGGTACATACCCACAGGGACTGAAAGCCGGTAGGATGGTTACTTTTATGTGTCAACTTGACTGGACCACAGGAGGCCCAGATATTCCGTTAAACATGATTCTGGGTGTGTCTGTGAGGGTGTTTCCGGATGAGATTAACATTTGAATCGATAGAATGAGTCAAGCAGATTGCCCGTCCCAATGTGGCCAGGCCTCATCCCATCAGTTGAAGACTTGGATAGAACCAAAAAGCTGTGTAAGAGGTAACACCTTCTGCCCAACTGCATGAGCTGGACATTGGTCTTTTCTGACCTTCAGACTCGGATTGAAACATTAGCTCCTCTTGGGTCTCCAGCCCACCGGCTTTCAGACTGAAACTTACACCATTGGCTCTCCTGGGTCTCCAGCTTGCGACAACTTTGGATCTTGGACTTCTCAGCCTCCATAATAACAAATCTCTTTACGTGTGTGTGCGCGCATGTGTATATACACATACAGGCACACACACACATCCTATTGGTTCTGTTTCTCTGGAGAACCTTGACTAATGCAGATTTTGATGCTGGGAGTGGGGTGCTCCTCTAACAAATCCCTAAAAATGCGGGAGCAGCATTGGAAGTGGGAATGGGTACAGGCTGGAAGGGTTTTGAGGTGCACGCAAGAGATACGGATATTAAAGGCCATTCTGATGAGCTCTCAGGTGGCAATGAGGAACAAGTTATGGGAAACTAGAGGAAAGGTGACCCTTGTTATATAGTGACAAAGAACCTGGCCGACGGTGTCCATGGTCTAGTGCTCTGTGGAAGGCAGAACTTGTGAGCGATGAAAGTGGATATTTAGCTGAGGAGATTTCCAAGCCAAGTGTTGCAGGAGTGGCTTGGCTTCTCCTGACTGCTTACAGTGAAATGCAAGAGAGAGAGAAATTGAAGGAGGAATTGTTAAGCAAAAAGGAACCAGAACTTGAAGATTTGGGATATCCTCAGCCTATCCACGCTGCAAAAATGAGAAAGTGGGTTCTAACGGGAACGCCAAGGGTGTGGCTGATAAAGAGCTAAATCAAACTCCATCACCAGATAAAGAGCACATGGGATTACAGGAGCAGAGACACTGCAGGCTTATACCGACCGAAGGGGGCGGAGTCGGGACGAAATGAAGGAAGGCTGTGGGACTCCTTGGGTTTGACAGGATGGGACACTAGAGCTATTTGGTTGCAAACAGACACTATTCTTCAAGAAGAGGGAAAAATGACCCCAAAGGCGATTCCAAGAATATCAGGGCCACTGTCTCGGTTTCACAGGCCACACAGCCTTCACTGTCCGGGGGATGGGACCACACTGCAGAGCCATGGGGGTGACGCCACTGCCCCAGTGGGCCTGCAGGGCAGAACATCGAACCAAAGAGGATTATTCTTGAATTAAGATTTCATGGAGTTTGCCTTGCCTGGTTTTGGACTTGCCTGGGACCTCTCCCTCCTTCCTTCTTTCTGATTTTTCTCTTTTGGAATGGGAACGTCTCTCCTAGGCCTGTCCCACTGCTGTATTTTGGAAGCACGTCACTTGTCTGGTTTCATGGCTTTGAAGGAAGTAAAATTATATTAAAAATTAAAAAGTTAATACCTTAGAGACGGGCACCTCCACACCCTAAGGATTCCTGGTATAAGGGGGAACGTTTATCGATCCTGACTGACTCTATTCATGGAAGACTCGCCCTAAACTGTTCGGGGAAAATTGAGAACAAGAGAGTGCTCCAGAGGGATAAGTTTGGGAGGGTCGGGGTGGAGGGGGTCCAGATGGGGACGCGTGTGTGTAACCTGATAATCGCTTCGCGCCATAGCAATTCGCGCCATAAAATGTAACTGTTTAAATGTTTTAAATTAGCCAATCATGTAAGACGGCGCCAACCTTTTCCCGCTTTGTGCTTCCAAACCCTATATAAGAGTTTGCCCTTTAAGGTCCGGGGTCGACTCCTCTGTCTCCTGCGAGAGATACGTGTCGACCCGGAGCTCCGCTTAATAAACCTCTTGCGTTTGCATCAAGCTCGGTCTTCTGTGTCTGTGGGTCCGCGCCTTCCCGAGACTGGAGTTGGGGTTTCCTTTTTGAGACCCTACAGCTTCTCAGCTGGAAAGGAATCCTGCCTGGGAATGAATCCTATCTCCAGTCTCATGCACACCTGATGTGGATGATATTTAGATGAGACGTGGGACTGTAGACTTTGGAGATGGTGCTAGAATGAGTTAAGACTTTTCAGGCTATTGAGATGGAATGAATGTATTTTACATGTGAGAAGGACAAGGATGTTGGGGAGCCAAGGGGTGGAGTGTTACAGACTGAATATGTCTCCCCCACCCAAATTCGTATGTTGAAGCCCTAACCCCCAGTGGGAAGGTATTTGGAGATGGAGCCTTTGGGAGGTAATTAGGTTTGGAAGAGGTCATGAGGGTGGGGCCCGCATGATGGGATTTGTGCTCTTATAAAAAGGAGAAGAGACCAGAGAGATGGTCTTCCTCCCTCTTCACTATGTGAGGACATACCGACAAGGCTATCTGCAAGCCAGGAAGAGAGCTCTCACCAGAACCCAACCATGCCGGCACCCTGACTTCAGAATTCCAGCCTCTAGAACTGTGAAAAATGAATTTCT